ATTATATCACATACATATAACATAATATTATATTATACACACCGCGTATACATAATATATAATATGTACCTATATTACACATTACGGACATCGACCGCCACTGCAGACGTCTTAACAATATATACCTATCGCATACATATATAGGTACGCGATATTGCGGCACGGAACGCACCCATGACTGATGATTTTAAATAACTGTTTTGACCAGCGGCTACCTGAAGTCGGCCGGAATACCAGCCACACTGCAGGTCGCTGCTATATTACTGTACGATTATGTTATTATTATTATAAGAGAGAAGGCAATATAGATGATATTATATTGTATTTATAACGAACGATATTATTTACGAGCTGTTGAGTGGAATCGCGCGAAGAGGTTACACAATATTATATACACGGAGGGCTCCTTTAACGTGTAAAATGGTGCTCGAGCGGTTAATTACACGGTGTATACATATACGATAAGTACAAACACAAAACGCATATCTACACACGAACACGTCGTACATTATACACCGAGCGAGCGTGTATATATGTGTAAAACGCTTACATACCTATATAGTTTGTATGAATACTGCAGTGTGTTATGTGTGTACCCCGTCATCTATCACGTCGCGTCTCGCGGTCCGTCATCGTCGGGAGACTTTAATGCCCCGTCGTCGTCGCGGTGACCTTTCTGCGGTAGAACAGTTCTGCTGTTGTGGGTATAATATTATACGTACCTATATAGTTAGGATATACGACGATAACGGTGCAAAGGATTCTACTACAGCATCACCAGTAATCACGCGTAAATACCTATATATTATATTGCTGTATTATTATTATTATTTAGGTATTATATATTGTCGACTGTGGGCGGGCGGGGCGATCATCAAACGGACGTAGCACATTATGTATGCATTATAATCGCTCGGCGGAATGTGCCATGTGTATATTATATATAGGTATACCTACCGTTTTGTCACTGTGTAGCGCATAGTTGTTTATCATTTTGCTGCTTTCACTATATTATCATTATCATAACACTGCAAGCGGCAGTTTTGTCGGCAGCGCACCACTTTTTTCTGCTATTTTTCTTTTCAGGTTAATCGTTAGCCACTAATTGGCCTAAAACACACATAGGTATACGTGTGTACGTGCAATGTGCATATACGCCTCGTATTTACACCGTGGTTTAGCGTAGTACGATATAAGTTGCACGAACCATTTCTTGACATTTCCCATACCTACCAAAAAGAAGACCACGTCCCATTAGCATATATATACGACGCGCCGCCTGGAGTAGGTAACTCCATAGTCTATACAATGTGTTTGAATTTCTGTACCTATATAATATATATATATATATACGTTCAACAACTATACAACACGTGGTCTTTTCTATAATATATAGCCTAGTGGCACACTTATTATATTTTGTGCTCTGTGGGTCCCGTCCATATATACATTTCAACGTATTATATGTATACATAAATAAAATAATTACGCATTATGATGCATATATATATAGACTTTTCCCCATTCAATTGTGACCATGGCCTCCAGTTAGTTAGTGTGTGTTTCGTAGTTCCCATAAGACAATATAATATTATAATAATAATATAACATAAATAGGTAGATAATGTCAGATTATTAGCGCATATATATACATAGTAGGTATACCGGTAACCGGTATTAGTAGTCCTCGACTTCTCGTCTGCCACACATGTGTACATGAAAATAAAAACAAATATAAACAAGGCCAGGTCGATATTTTTAAACGCCCGAAATCCGTGCACACATGTGTGATTTAAAAATGGGAGTTTAGTTTGAAGTTATTATATACGGGTTACTGCGGATACGGCGATCGCGGACGAGTGAGCTGTGTAGTCGAAAGTAGGTATTAATAATATTCATTTTTGATATTATTTTATGTTCCGATTTGATCGCTGTACATTATAATATATTATAATATACGTATTGTACGTATTATTCAGTCCGCAGACGGCGGGGGAAACAAGTTGGTCGAACAGACGCAGTAATCATTGACCCGTCCGTGTCTGTAAAAGACAGCCGCGACTTATACTAATAATTACTGTTTGTTACATATTATATATACATATACACTGCGCAGTAAAAGCCACCTTTGTTGCATACGAAGTATATTATTGTATTTACGCGTTTGGAAATCTGTAATCTGGTCGTTATTAATTCGAATTTATATGAAAGTCAAGACCGAGATATCGGACCCGAGTGCTCGACAGTATAATGACAATACAATATAATGGCAACAGACATGTAAAGCTATACACTATATTCATATGTGTATACCTGTATAGGAAGTATAGTGCATTTAGACTTTATTATATGCGTGGATTTACCGGTGGAAGTTATAAGGTACGACGACCGGTCGGTCGTCCAAACGAATTATTACTACCGTTTATATATAATATAATATGTACATATTATATATACCAATACAAAGACGAGCCAAGCACGACAATCGATCGATTGGCACTTTAATATTATAAATATTATATTGTACATAGAATAATATACAAGACACTACTCAGTACTCAATGCCTATCACTTTTCGGAGTGTATAACACAACATCACATCGTACCTGTACCAGCTATATAATATGATAAACCTGTTCCGAAAAATATTTCATTTACAGGTTGTGTGTGAAGTCACGACGAATGACTGAATATTTAATAATATTAAAATATATATACTATATATGTATATATATATATGTCAGTATATTGGATGACCCACTCGAGCATGTTTATTTATAAGGATGTGTGCAAAGATTTGGATTTTTCTCAATCACGTGTGATGGGTTGTAGATTTTTAATATTATATAGTGTACTATATCGTCGTGCGAGTCGAGAGAACATATAATAACACCTATATAATATTATTATAACGTATATTTTTTTATGTTCCTAATACGATTTCACATTCAATATATTTAAATATCGTTCAAATTGTTTGAAACGTTTATCCGTCGAGTTGCACGAATAGAACGCGATATAATAATATAGAGTAATAATATTTTGCCAATGTACGTACCTGACTATTTATATTATAATATAGATAGGTACTTATTGTAATTACGTTTCTTTAATCAAACATTTCGCGCAAAATCGTCATTATAATATTATAATAATATATTATAGACGAATCACATCCGTATATCACAAATGACCTATATTATATTATTATTATGTATATATAAAATATAGTGTATAAAATATAAATATGTGTGCATATTGTGTATATTTCCTAAGTGTGTTGAGTGAAAATCAAGTAATTTCAGATCTTTGAGAACTTTAACTGAATGCAATTTATAATAATATTATGTGTAATAGTTACGCTTGTATAATAATATACAGTGAGCCATTGCCCATTGAATACAACACAGTCGTAAACTCGCGAGTATTATTATATGCTATTGTCAATGGTGGTCGTGACATTTGTCTTTTTTTTTCGACAAATGACAAAAGCCGTTGTTGGGTACACAGTCGGCATATCAAATTTCGCGCGGTCGTGGTTGATACGCGTATGTCGCAATGTTGTCACCCTGCCGCCCCGCCGCCGAGTAGTGTGGCAGCCCATGTGGCAGCGAACTTTGTACCCCCGGAGAGGGGACGGTATCGTTGCGGTACAGTCGCTGCTGGCTGTACCCGCCGCCATATTTTTCGTCGTTTTGGAGCCGTCTAGGCGATCGGTCATGTTTTTGAGTCGTCGTGCACATCCGCATTGTTTTACCGTCGCGAACCGGTGCTCCGTCGCCGTCATTACCGTCTTGTTCCGAGCCGTCGATGCTCTCGTGTTGCACCGTGCGTCGTCCCCACGATTTTTGTATCGTCTCGACCTCTCGTGTCGCGATACGGTTTTTGTTTTTTTTCGTCGCCCGTCCGATTCTCGCTGTGCGACCCCGACCGCGTGTTACCCTCGTTACCCACGTGTTTGTCGTTCGAGCCGCCCGTGCTCTTTGTCATGTCACGCCGTGCGTAGTGTCGACATTTTGGATTGCTCGACCGCCTGTGTCGTGATCCAACACAACTTTGTGTATTTTCGTCGCTCGCCCGACTCGCTGTGCGTTTCGAGCCCTGCTCGACTCTCACCCACGTGTTCCGCCCGCCCGTCCTACGCAGTGCGAACCGTGTTTTAAGTAACTTGTTGTCGTTTGTGCCGCGTCCCTACGCCGCGACAATTGATGTTTTTCGCGTGACCGTTTCGAAGTCTCCCCTTGAGCAGAAAAAACGAGTTCGTGTCCGCGTCGCCCAATATTTGGTTTATACATCCGCTTCAACCGTTCGACCACCGGTCGTACGTTCGCAGTGTCGTCGACCTATTCGTCGACGTCGACGAGAGTGCAAAGTGCCGCCAGCCCCGATTGCCGCCCGCAGCTACTACAACGTCGCATTGGGTCAACTGGAGCGTCATCGTCGTGGTATCATCACCCGTCGTTATCACTTATCAGGTCGTACACACGTGATTTATTTGTCAACAAACATCACCTTTGTATTTGTAATTTGTATTAATTTTTTTTTTCTCTTGATTTATTGTTTACGCGATCGTTTGTGATCGCGCACTACTGTTACCTACTAACCCTAGCTTAAGTAACGTTTACTGCAGGACATTACAATAAATTGTTCTGTACACCTTATAGCAAAAAAAACATTGTTGTCTGTTAGAGTTACCTTATACTCATCATCATATTATTTTCAACCAGCTTCCTATTCATCATATTCTAAATACAGTCCACTTTTTATCCCTTCCCACAGGGCTATCGACCTAGGACGTAAGTATCGTCAAACAGAACGGGTTGCGTGTCGGCCGCCGTCCGTGCGCGCACTCACACACACGCACACTCGTCACCGGCTTTACGTGTGCAGCCATCATCCGCACATTGTTTGGTCCTTCGGGCCGGATGTTTCTGTGCGACTACTTCGTCACAATCATACGTCAATTTTGTAATTTCACCTGATCTCGTATTTCTGTCGTCATGGCACCGAAAAAAGAAGAAACTGCTGAAAACGCTCTCGCTCGAGCACGTGTCAAACGCGACAACGTTTTAAACTCCATCAAAGGTATTCACGTCACAGCTTTAGCCGCACGCTCTGATGCCGATCGAGTGCCGTCGTTAATTATTCACGCCGAAGATTTAAATCAATATGTCGAACAATTTCAACGTCAACAAGACGTTATAATTAACGCGTTAATCGATCTTGACCGTGTGGCCGAGTTTGATCAGGATGATCGTCCAATGATCGCATCTATGGAGACTATGCGTCTCGAAATTAAAACTGTCGTCGCGAGTGTGTCCGAAATAAAATCGTCGTCTTCGTCGTCTATCGCGTCCGCGCCTCAACAATTCGTTCCGTTACCAAAAATTCAGCTGCCCAGCTTCGACGGTAATCTATTGGAGTGGCGATCGTTCCGCGATATTTACGTTTCTCTCGTACATGACAACACCGGCATTGGCGATGCCGAACGGTTTCACTATCTAATGTCGTGTTTATCGGGCGACGCTCTCGCTGTTGTCAAATCAATTCCGTTATCCGCGAATAATTATGTCCTCGCTTGGGAAGCATTGTCCGTTCGGTTTGATAATAAGCGCCTGCTAGCGTCGGCACACTTAGATAAGTTATTTGCATTCAAACCTATTGCACATCAGTCGCTACCAGCCTTGACGTCGTTTATCAACACGTTCAAAGAAAATGTAGTCATAATTAAAGCGCTCGGTGTCAACGACCTGTCAAGCTTTTTATTATTTCACATGGGATCCCGAGTTCTCGATCCGACGACGATTCAATTATTCGAATCCAACGCGTCGAATTCGACAATTCCGACGTTCGACGAGCTACTCAGTTTTGTACAACAACGCTGTCGAGTATTAGAGAACATAAAAAATTCCAGTAAATCTGATATTTCAACGAAACCACACGAAAAATATAATACGCGTAATAAAACTGTTATATCGAAAAAATCAGTGTTTGCCGCCACCACATCTACATCGGTCAAGTCTAAGTCACGAGGTTGTTTGTCATGCGATAAGGCTGACCATAGTATTTACCGTTGTCCAAAGTTCAACGATATGACAGTTGAAAGGCGCCGCGAATTCGTAGCGGCTAGAAAATTATGTTTTTCATGTATGAGTCAGTCTCATATGCTCAACGCGTGTTCATCAACAGGGGTGTGCCGCTCGTGCAGTAGTAAGCGTCACCACTCCTTGCTACATCTTAATACCGATCAGTCATCGGCCGTGAACAAAACTAATCAGAGTACCAGCTCAGGTCCTAGTTCAGGTCCCTCCGCCGACAAGTCAAGTTCCTTTTCAGGTGCAGCATGCACCAACTCCACGGTCGTCCTCGGTACGGCCATAGTTCACATCAAGGACGCCTGGGACCAAATTCATTCCGTTCGAGTACTTCTCGACAGTGGGTCTCAAATTTCGGCCATCTCAAGCGACTGCTTCGCTCGGTTAGGACTATCGAAACGCCGTTTTAAATCCGACGTCGTAGGTCTCGCGCAAAGTCCAGTGAACCACGTGCAAGGTGTCACCAGGTGTCAATTTTCGTCGCGTTTTAAATCTGATTTGTTCCCGTCTGTTGAACTAGTTATTCTAAAACAAATTACCGGCGTCATGCCATCCACACGGTTGCCGACAACCGTGCGTCAACAATATCGACACCTCCGTCTCGCGGACGAGAACTTCGATATTCCGTCGTGCATCGACGTTTTATTCGGCGCCGATATTTTACCTAGTCTTATCCGCTCTCACGCGGGTGTGGAGCACCACTCGGGTTTACCATCGGCCCTCGACACCCAGCTCGGATGGATAATTTTTGGTTCGTTTTCTACTCCGAGCAAGTCACCCCCAGTCACGCTGACCACCGCGATCGCTCCGCCGTCAATTGGAGATCTATTACAACAATTTTGGTTGGTCGAAGAACCCACCGCACCTACGTCACCCACCACGGAAGATCAGTGGTGTGAAGAATATTTTACCAAATCTACTTCGCGGGATTCCACCGGTCGATTCTGTGTCGCTCTACCATTTCGTCATTTGTTTGCGAGCACAGCTCAACAACAAGACACACCGCGTCACGGTCTCGGCGACTCGCGCTCCATCGCGTTGAAACGGTTTTATAACCTAGAAAAACGGTTGGCTAAGGACTCCGAATTGTATGCTGCTTATCGTAAATTCATGTCCACCTACCAAACACTAGGACACATGGTACCGGCTCCGGAACCCGGTAAATATTTTATTCCGCACCACGCCGTGCTCAAGGCTGACGGTGACATGTCCAAAATTCGCGTCGTGTTCGATGCTTCGTCCGCCTCGTCCTCCGGTCGCTCATTAAACGATGTATTGTGCACCGGACCCAAACTTCAAATTGATTTACGCGACATTTTACTTCGTTGCCGTATGCACAGGTACATTTTGTCCGCCGACATCGTCAAAATGTATCGGCAAATTTTAATCCGTCAAAAAGACCGGACTTTTCAACATATATTCTGGCGCGATTCACCCACTGACGACCTCGTCGAATTCCAATTGTGTACTGTAACGTACGGTCTCAACTGCGCGCCGTATCTCGCCATTCGCTGTCTCCACGAACTTGACCGGCAAGACGGTCATCGTTTTCCACTTGCTAAAGACGTCCTTACTAGAGCTGCTTATGTCGACGACATCGTTATCGGAGCTGACACCCAAGAGCTCTTACTACGTCGGAAGGAAGACGTTGTCGGTCTACTACGCAACGGTGCCTGTATGTTGAGCAAGTGGACTAGCAACAGTACCACCGTTCTCGAGTCCGTTTCTCCCGATGACCGTGTACTCTCTATATCGTTCGATCCGCGCGAAGAACACGCCGTAAAGGTCCTAGGCCTGCATTGGGACACGAAAACCGACAAGTTTGCCTATCATACCCGGCTTGATCAAATTTCTTTGACGAAACGTCAGGTGTTGTCCGTCATTGCGCGCTTGTTCGACCCTATTGGCGCCCTGGGCCCTATGCTGTTGTGGGCAAAATATTTTATGCAACTATTATGGTGCAACAAACTCGGATGGGACGACCTGATGTCCCCCGAACTGCAATCTATGTGGCAACAATTTTGCACTGAGCTTCCGCTCGTATTCGACCTGAACCTCCCACGTCACATCGACGTCATCTGTCATCAGGACATTCAACTATTGGGCTTCGCGGACGCATCGATAAAAGGGTATGCGGCCGTCGTGTATCTACGTCTCGTCAACACCGCCGGTGACATCTCCGTTAAATTCATCACTTGTAAAACCAAGGTCGCCCCTCTGAAGAGTGCCGCCGTCGACGAGTCGCTTTCCATACCTCGCTTGGAATTATGCGGGGCCCTGCTGTTGGCCCAGACACTTCATCACGTGCAATCTGTGCTGTCCACCGAAGTGTCTATATCTCGTCTGCGTGCGTGGTCGGATTCGTCAGTTGTTTTATCGTGGTTGACCACAGACCAAAAACAATTCAAAATTTTTGTGACCAATCGGGTCGCCAAAATACGTCAGCTACTACCGGATTGCGTATGGAGCTACGTATCAACGCTCGACAATCCCGCGGATCCCGCCTCTCGTGGACTCATGCCGAAATTAATGTTGTCCTCGTCTATTTATTGGGACGGTCCGGAGTTCCTACGAATTCCTGAAGACCAATGGCCACCGTCTAGATTTATTCCGCTCGCTCCGGAGCAGCTGCCGGACACTCGGCCTAACGTCGTCGCAACGTTGGCCGTCAACGTCCATCCGTCTTCGTTGGATTTCATCGGTAAATTTTCGTCGCTCGAAAAAATGTTACGAGTATTGTCTTACGTTTCTCGTTTTTTATCTCATCGTCTACGACGGCAACCGATCCGTGTCGGTCCTATCACGTTTTCCGAGCGAGAAAGGTCCTTGTCGATTGCCGTACAGCGGACACAACAGTATTACTTTTCGGATCTGGTTAAAACGTTAAAAAATAAGTCTACGATCACCCCCCCATCTTTGGCACAATTAGCACCATATATCGACGACAACAACATTGTACGAGTGGGAGGTCGCCTGCGTTTTTCCGACGCCAGCTACGACGCGAAGCATCCGATTCTGTTACCGCGATCCTCGCACCTCACCGACCTGGTCATTCGACACTACCACTTGTCCTTTCTGCACGGCGGATCAAAGTTGGTACTATCAATGTTGAATCAAAAATACTGGATACTGTCTGGTCGCGCTGCAGTTCGACGTGTCATTTTCTCGTGCGTTCCGTGCACACGCCATAAGGCTGTCCGCCCTCAACCGTTGATGGCTGATCTACCATCTTACCGGGTTCAACCTCATCGTCCGTTTTCCCACGTCGGTATGGACTACGGAGGGCCGTTCCTCGTTAAGGAACACCGTCGTCGGAATGCACATTCGGTCAAGGTCTACCTCGCCTTATTTATTTGTATGTCCGTCAAGGCGGTCCACCTCGAAATCGTGTCCGATCTCAGCACTGACGCCTTCCTCGCGGCTTTGGACCGGTTCGTCGCCCGCCGTGGGATTCCGTCCAACCTCTACTCGGACTGTGGCACAAATTACGTCGGCGCCGCCCGTCAATTAAAATTGTTATTTCGCGACGCCAAGGCCCAAGACCGTCTCTCGACGCACCTCAACTGCACATGGCATTTCAACCCGCCTGCTGCGCCGCCTTTCGGTGGCATTTGGGAAGCCGGCATCAAGAGCGTCAAATTTCACCTCAAACATGTCATCGGTCAGCAGGTGTTGACATACGAAGAATTCTATACGTTGACCACTCGCATCGAGGGCATTCTGAATTCCCGACCGATTACACCGAGTTCATCCGACCCGCACGACCTAAATGCGTTGACGCCGGGACATTTTTTGATCGGACAGCCGATCCACGCCGTGCCTGAACCTGACACCACCGAAGTCAAAATCAACCGTTTGAATCGTTGGCAGCTCATTCGGCAATGTCATCAGTCCTATTGGAAACGGTGGTCACGCGAATACCTATCCACGCTGCAAGGTCGACAAAAATGGTGTAAAGCGTCCCCGAACCTCGCCGTCGGCGACATGGTCATCGTCGAAGCCCCGTCTCGACCACCTACCGAGTGGCGTCTCGGCCGCGTCACAGAGGTCCATCCAGGACCAGATGATGTCGTTCGTGTCGTGTCCGTGCGCACTCAGGACGGTATCTACAAGCGCCCGGTCGTGAAACTCGTGCGTTTACCGGTCGAGCCCTGATCCCTGTCCTCATGTCCAATGTCCTCATTATGTAAAAATATTTTAATTATTTTTTTCTTTTTTTTTTTTTTTTTTTTTTTTTTGAGCATCAGTCTCATTCATGTAAATTATGTATTTAGTCTAGTGATGATTTATTTATGTATGATTATTATACCACCTATGTATATATGTACCTATAGCCTCGTATTGTTGTAATGTGTACGATCTGGACTTCAACGTCCATATTCCTGTCAGATGAGTTCTTGAAAGACGCCTGGGTCTTTCAACGCGGGGAGGAAATGTTGGGTACACAGTCGGCATATCAAATTTCGCGCGGTCGTGGTTGATACGCGTATGTCGCAATGTTGTCACCCTGCCGCCCCGCCGCCGAGTAGTGTGGCAGCCCATGTGGCAGCGAACTTTGTACCCCCGGAGAGGGGACGGTATCGTTGCGGTATAGTCGCTGCTGGCTGTACCCGCCGCCATATTTTTCGTCGTTTTGGAGCCGTCTAGGCGATCGGTCATGTTTTTGAGTCGTCGTGCACATCCGCATTGTTTTACCGTCGCGAACCGGTGCTCCGTCGCCGTCATTACCGTCTTGTTCCGAGCCGTCGATGCTCTCGTGTTGCACCGTGCGTCGTCCCCACGATTTTTGTATCGTCTCGACCTCTCGTGTCGCGATACGGTTTTTGTTTTTTTTCGTCGCCCGTCCGATTCTCGCTGTGCGACCCCGACCGCGTGTTACCCTCGTTACCCACGTGTTTGTCGTTCGAGCCGCCCGTGCTCTTTGTCATGTCACGCCGTGCGTAGTGTCGACATTTTGGATTGCTCGACCGCCTGTGTCGTGATCCAACACAACTTTGTGTATTTTCGTCGCTCGCCCGACTCGCTGTGCGTTTCGAGCCCTGCTCGACTCTCACCCACGTGTTCCGCCCGCCCGTCCTACGCAGTGCGAACCGTGTTTTAAGTAACTTGTTGTCGTTTGTGCCGCGTCCCTACGCCGCGACAATTGATGTTTTTCGCGTGACCGTTTCGAAGTCTCCCCTTGAGCAGAAAAAACGAGTTCGTGTCCGCGTCGCCCAATATTTGGTTTATACATCCGCTTCAACCGTTCGACCACCGGTCGTACGTTCGCAGTGTCGTCGACCTATTCGTCGACGTCGACGAGAGTGCAAAGTGCCGCCAGCCCCGATTGCCGCCCGCAGCTACTACAACGTCGCATTGGGTCAACTGGAGCGTCATCGTCGTGGTATCATCACCCGTCGTTATCACTTATCAGGTCGTACACACGTGATTTATTTGTCAACAAACATCACCTTTGTATTTGTAATTTGTATTAATTTTTTTTTTCTCTTGATTTATTGTTTACGCGATCGTTTGTGATCGCGCACTACTGTTACCTACTAACCCTAGCTTAAGTAACGTTTACTGCAGGACATTACAATAAATTGTTCTGTACACCTTATAGCAAAAAAAACATTGTTGTCTGTTAGAGTTACCTTATACTCATCATCATATTATTTTCAACCAGCTTCCTATTCATCATATTCTAAATACAGTCCACTTTTTATCCCTTCCCACAGGGCTATCGACCTAGGACGTAAGTATCGTCAAACAGAACGGGTTGCGTGTCGGCCGCCGTCCGTGCGCGCACTCACACACACGCACACTCGTCACCGGCTTTACGTGTGCAGCCATCATCCGCACAGCCGTACTATTTGGATATGATGTAGCTAATGTGAAAGTCTTAATAAATATGTTTTTTTATACATAAATCTGCAGGCCGCAATTATAGTTGTTACACGAACATTTTGTTAGAATGAAATTGCAGTCGTTACTCACGTTACTATGGCCATTTCTTTGAAAATAGCTACACTATATAGATAGGTATGTGAGTTGATGAGAAAATCGTAGTGACTTTTCTGGAATGGGTTTTTGACTGTCGATTAAGTGGGATGATTGATTTGTTTTTTCTCGGGATACGATGGAGAAATTTAAGGTAAAACAGAATTAAATCGCAGTTTGTCGTTAGCACATTAAAAATATCTAAGATATTGGGTCGCTGATGAATGCTCCGACAAAAGCAACGACTGCAAAGTGCAAATATAATTTGTATGAAAGTAATGGACATTATTCCAAAATAAATTCTTTTCACTCTTTGCCCTGCAAATAACGTGATAGATTCTACGAGAATAAATCGAACAAGGGTATATATAGATATTAACTTATTATTTGAGTATGGTGAAACACACTTGACGAATGCTATATAAATCACATAAATACTATATTTATAGTTATACTATATCTATACTATAAATTTTTTCAATTTTGTGTGTAATTTTTTTTTTTACCACACATGTTATTTCGTTCAAACGCCTTACATCATGCGTAATAATGCAGAAATGTAAAACCTTTATTTGCCTAAGTTTACCACTTTACTGCCTATCATTGCAAAATAAGTGTAGGTACCTACACGTCTTATGTGAAACAATCTGCCCGTTGTTGTGTTGCCAGCTATATTTAGGTACCTACACAATATAATGACTTAATAATATACATACATTTAATATATAATATTATGTTCTATCAAAACCACGAACGTAATTTCTGGTATTTGGCGGTCGATCAATCATATAAAATTTACGACACAATTATTTTGTTTACGTATATAAATGATATTTTTTTTTGGGGAGCGGTGAATTTATTATTATTCAAATATATAAATACTAATAGGTAATATTAGGTATATTTTCCCAACACCCCAGAGGCCCAGAACGGATGTAACATATAAGTAACACAATATGCGAGTGATTAATAACCCAAAATGTTTTTTTATTATTATTATTATTACTACGGAGTGTATTATTATATTTGATAAATTATAAGTATATTTTTTTTACGAAAAAGAGAATGTGAAAGTTGAGAACCACTAGTCTCACAATTCTTTGATGTATAGAACAATATAATATAAAATATTATGAAGTAATAATAATTTTCGTGTGGATTATTAACGTAGTTTACTTACACGACTTGTACGGCACAATTTTTTACATTCGCAACCTGTTGGACTTTCGATTTTTGCGTTATAACACACGATTATTGAACAATTATATACCGACACGTTTTCTATTCTGATAAACTGTACTAACGTTGAGATGATAACTAGGTTTGAAATGAAAAAAATAATGAAAAATATGTTTAAATAATATATCATCGGTCATTACTTCGCTTTTGACCGATTTATTATTCTTGTGGCTCCAGTCCGATCCGTCGAGCAGCAGCAAAGGCTTCGTATATTTTTAGTTCCGTTTACCATTGAAATCTGACTTCACATTTTCTTTGGTCCACAAGTTTTGACGTTGGTACGTATGATTTCCCGTCAATAGCTGATGTCCTGCAATTACGCTTAAAACTTGTACCTACGGTGTCCATATTGGTAAAATATAATTACGAGGATGGATAAGCAGGAAAAAAAAAGTACGACGAAATATTATAATTATCGGTGGATGAATACAACAACAATAAATGTATGGTCTGTAATGTTTGTATTTCAATGAGTTGTGTATCGACAGAATAATGTTCATATCATTCTGTAATAACCTAATGCAAACTTGTTCAATTCTGTTGTTTGGTGTTTTCAGAGTTTTTGTCTAAACAAGGCCGTATAAATGTAATTTATAGGACAATAGTGACATAAAGGGGAAAAAACTTTACACTATGGAGGACGAGGTGGCCGAGCGGTGTAAGGCGTTGGTTGCGGCGCAGCCGTCGCCGGTTCGATTCTCGGCCACTGGGCGGCATTTTTCTTCGGGCAAGTCACGGTGTCCAGAGAACAAGTGCCGCCATCCCCCACCCTGGGCATGGCAGAAACCTACTGGTGTCCCACTGGAAATTCTGCCACAACATACACACGTGTACCAAACCTATCCAATACAAAAACTTACAGTTCCACCCCCACCCAATGGCCTATGTTGCCGCGGGTCATCTAATAAAAAAAAAAAAAACTTTACACTATATAACGTATTTAACTTATTTTTATTATATTATCAAACATCATCTATGGGGCATACTGCACTGTAGGTATATAACTGGTATACATCTTGTGAATTTCAGAACTTGTCCAAATATTATTGGAGAGAAATCATACTCACTTGAACTGACATTTTCTTTTTGTTGGATTTGATAGTTATTATAACAATAACAAAAACAACAAAAATGTGGCCATCGCTTTGCAATGGTCGAAGTCGAGTCAAACGCTTCGAAATCATAAAACATCGCCATTTTTAGCTCACGATCTCACTATTAAATGATTTCGTATCACTGCTGAAGTACTTACTACGAAAGGTGTGGCCAATATCAACGTTAAAGCATGTATAGAATCGAGAGGATGAATAATGCAAGGCAGTGCGTTTACTGCAGGGCAAACTACAGTGTTCATCCCGTTCTCTGTTGCGATCAGGCGCTCGAGTATGCGAAAACTCCAAAAGCCATGGAGGAAACAGTCTTAATGATGGAGCCCGTTGAACATAAATTGAAAAGTAAAACGTCCGGAAACGTGCAATGGAAAGCTTTCAGTCACGCTTGGCTGGCCGACGGATATTATATAGCAGCGCAAGTGCGCAACATCGACGATCTGCGACGCTCAGATCGGCTGTTGAAGATGGATCATGTTAATTCAGGTTTGCAGTAAGCTATCGTGACGTATACGTCGATATAGGTACCAGACGAGTAGTTGGACGGTTTTGTCATGCAGTCCTATATAAGCAGTGGTGTTATAGATGACGACCAAACACCAAACGATCGTCGGCAATAAGCCCACTGCCCCACATTGTTGACTTTTTACAAGTATTTAGTAAGTACTTAAACTACCCAGAGTGATCCTCTCAAAGATTTGTCTTTATGTTTGGTTTATTCGCGGTTGCCCGAATGGACCACTAAACGTATTGAAAGGGGACTAACATATAATGGTCTGGAAACGACATGGTCGACGGGGGTCAGGAGACGGCCACCAAAAGGTTTTGGTTATTTTTCGATTCGACGTCCGGTCTGTCTTGGGATAAAATTACACCAACAATAATATTAGGTATAATTTAATTCGTCATCACAAAGTACAAAATGTGTACACCGCTTCAAGTCTGACAATAACAGAACTGATATCCGGTATATAGTCGATTCAAACACAACAATAATTTACAATACATAAGTCATTTGTTTTCTAAATACACTGTATTGCCTACCATCCTTCCACTTTTAAACCCAAGTAAAGTATCTATACGCTACAGATTATCTTTGGTGTTTCAATATTATGACATGCCTTCGTCAGAATAAATACAAATAAACATTCGGCATAATATTATCATTATTATTATGTATATTTGAGATTTAAATCATATGGTATTGGATAGTGCGCGGTGTTTTCGTGTAATATAATATAATATATTATTATATAGTATTATGTGGGTCGACGTGTCATAATATGAAAAGTCACTACACTGGGCAATACGCGACATCGTTCATCCATCATCCTGTATATTATATATCCCTATACATTTATATACGAATCTACGATCTAGACATCGTGTGGGTATAATAGTATTTACTGTTGCTGTATTATTATTTTTCGCTTGCGTTGTACTCAGTGCATTATATCGGCGTTCTATATCGTGTAAACAGTAGAAGTGCAGAACTGCAGCATAATCAGTAGAGTACAATATATTATTATACCTATATATAATATAAACTACGCATTTAATGTTGAATTTAGTACCTATAGGCTACGTTATTGTATATTACGTATTTAAAATTAAATGTGGTACCTATAGGCAATATTGTAGTAGGCTGTACATAGTCGTGGTGAACGAGGGGGTCAACGGTGGGTCTTCAGCGTCGGCGGCGCGCACAAAGTGAAAGGATGCTGCTGGAGGACTTGTCCGTCGCGATTTTTACCTCGCAGTGTTGCGACGATAATAATATGATGGCACGAAGCCAGCCACCGCCGCTGCCGTATCTGTTTACCTTATTTTAACTCGGCTAGGATGAGGTTTACAATGTATATTATAATATTTTACACTCGGGTATTATACCTCCACAATACCAGTGTCTGCCTATAAATATACAATATAATATATGAATAAAAAATATACAAACACCTATATTATGCTATCCGCCGAGCACGTCATTAAAATATATTATTATACCCAGTGATCGCGTACACCGCGCTTTAGCCCCCCACGGTCCCATCCCTCTTACCACCGTCCGACCTCTTGTATCGGACGGGGACTCAGCGGGTCGCCTACATTTATTATAATATTATAGCAGTGTCTTGTCAGTGTGCGAACACCGTGCGAACCATATTTTTCATAATAATGTGTAATAACGCTCACTCGTGTATAATATGCTTCTTCGGTAGGACTATCGAGAGACACGAGGCGTCTATATGTTTATTTATTTATACGCAATATACATAAAGCATAATTATAATATGATATTTTAGAAGGGGTAAAGACCTCTATATACGATTTCATATCCTCAAATTAATCATTTAATAACGGACGACAAGCGATATGGCGATGTGTTTTATAGTGCTCGGAATTTAAAGTACACAAATTTTTTTTGATACTTTCTTTACTTATTACTATTTTTTTGAAATATTTAATTTCTGTGCATATTTTGTTATAGTTCATAATTTGAAAAAACACAAGTTTTGAAATATGTAACATATCAAATTTGTCTTCAAAATGCAGGCCAATAAATTAAAATTATTTTCCTACGATGCACATTGTATGTCTTGTCAATCCTATTGTTAAGACTACATTAATTGGTGCTTTTCTACTTTAACAATAGACAATGAAAGTGTGTGGTGAAATAATAGATTGACAAAAGCCAACATTATGCTTTCGGTATGCTTTAACCATTTTTTCAGTAACATGTATCCAACTATATTATCTTCATTAGAAATAATTTGTTGAGCACATATTTATGCAGTTTTTCAAATTGTATCATAATATTATAATAGATGCATCTCATATAAATAATCATAAGGTAATAATTTCGAAAAATGTTAATTAGGAGAAAAGCTATTGACGGGGACAATCAGTGTGGTGGACACACTTGCCTAGTTTTTGGATTGAAAATCATTAGACCTTAAACTCCAGAGAATGGAAATCGATATGGAAATCGACGGGCGTATTATAATACTATTTATACAATTGTATAGTATACGACCTGTCGACCTAGTTGGAGTTAGATATACTATATATATATATATATTAGTCTGAGTTATAAACTTTACAATATATTATAAAATGTGTACGCAGCTGCAGTACATACCCATACGGGTTACTATATTAATATATACATATTCATAATATTATAACAGTATGATAATAAAATGTGTTTTATTTTCTTATTCAGTGGTTTATATTCACTTGGGGGCCCTTTGTCATTTCGCCTTTCGCTTTTTAAACCTATATTGGTAAGCTATGACATCTGACCACATAATATATTATATAGGTTATACCCATATACGGGACTTATACAAATATAGGTACTATATATATTGAGCAGGTTGGTAAAAACCTATACCACCGGGCTTATCCTCGATGACTGCATCCGCGTTACTAAGACTATGAAAACCCCTGTTCTATCGGCAAAGCAGTCATCGAATAATTATTGTACATTTATACTATATTATATGTTGTATATAATAATAATCGTCATGGATATAGAGGTTCTGAAACTCTTTTTTCACGTAGCCCTCTTGTTTAACAGTCACGTTATATACGATGGACTTGTCATGACTAAATAAGACGTAAAACCGTTCTGAAACACGTCAATACATTTATATCAACTCATACAGGGTCAGGTTAAAATTATTTTAGTCTTATAATAATTCTCTAATAGGTATCTGTATTTATAAATCAAAATTATAAAAATTACGTCCGTGCAAGGCCTGTTTTGACTATTGTGGATTATTGCCTATAGGTGTATTTTATCATTTCATGTGATTTTGGGATGAAAATAATAACCTAGAAAAATAATAATAATAATAATGGATCCACCACAAACATCAATAAATAATAAAAAATAAATTCCTTACTATCATGTGGCCTTCCGCATTCCATACTATCAGTTTGGGAACATCTTTGAGTAGGTGTCTCGTTCGTTTTGGTTTTAATGAATATCATATTACCGATGTCTCGTCGGTGCTACTCGAGGATTTATAAATTACAAACATTACATAATATGACACTATTAAATAATTAAGAAACAAGTCCACTACAAAATAATTACAATAAAATATGTAGTGGGCCACGTCGAGGGATCGCAATAAATATTATACATATAATACGGAGACCTGTCCAATATTTGATCTATCGATAGTCGATAGTCGATATTTACGCTATTATAGGTATTTATATGCAATACCACTTTGATGACATCGGTATATCTAGTAAATTAAGTACGCCACGATTTTAAGTAGCGTATATTATAACAAGGTAGTCAGCAGATCACATTTTCCTCGGTAGATCACAGGAATTGGATTGGTCCCATAATAATAAATTATATTATGTTATATTGTATATAATTATATATAGGTACTTACACGACCACAGTAATGCTAATTTTTCGTATGAATAACGGTACAGTGGGACGCGTGCGTTTAATAATATTATATTATCCTATTATAGTATATTTAGGAAGTTAGGCGTACAAAAACGACGTAGGTATTATACGTACTTATTATTATATCACATTATATTATTACGAATGCGTGCAGCTCGCGACATCCCGCGGTGCAGCTGCTGCAGTCGTCACTCGTACCTGCACTGCCCGAATGCACTTTGGTTGCTGCACGTCAAACCGAGTGCCCACTCACATAATATTATGATGCTGCACATGGGCGGTGCAACACCTATAATATTCGTTTTAATATCATCATCGTCGTGTTATTATTTAATTAATGGTTAAATCGTATATTATTATCATGCACGGGGTCTATGCTCTGTATACAGACAAAAGTGTGAAGCATTTGCTTACGCGTATTATCGAGTGTGCACCGTTCTACCTTCTCTTAAAATCATATTTAATATATATAACATATATAATATATTATATTTATTATCAAAAAAGCATTTTGTATAAAACATACAATAAATAATAAATTGTAAACAAAAATATAATGATAACCTTCCGTTATTACGACTATACGCCGCAGCGTGTAGTCTCGATCTCTTTAGCCGACTGCCGAGTAGTTTCGAAATAAGCAAGTCCGCGCATTCCTCCCCCAGCCCGCCGCCTAACCACCGGTGGATATTAATATTATTATTGTGTTTGTCATTTCATGTATTATTATTACTATTATTCTTTTAACACGCCGACGACGCGGAGACTTGCCCGCACGGATCAAAACCGGACCTGTTTCCGCGTTGCTAACTGTACATTTCGAGTGCGCGGTGGTCATCAGTGGCGGCTGGTGTGCAGCAGGAGATAACGGGAAACGCTTCCGGGGCCGAAGAGTCTGTGCACATGCTCGCGCGTGCGTACGTTATTATATTTTTATACATATAATAATATTTATATTATATTATATACGTACACGCTGTCCCGGAGAAGAGAAGGTGGACCGAGGCCGGTTGTAGCTTACCTATATTGTGTTGACGACTTTGAAATGCTTTCGTTCGAAGATGA